CACCATCTGGTGTAGCCGCCCCGGGCTCTAATTACATCACGGATTCGTTCTGGCATTGAACGAATTAACCTCATGCAAGTTTCAACATCGATTGCCTGCCAAACCATCTGAATTTTTTCCCAGAGGTCTTTTTCACTTGAAATTTGACCAGGAAGGTCCCTAAGCTGATGATTAACTTCGTCCCACAAGTGTTCGATCAGGTTTAGATCAGCCGATTGGGGAGGCCAGTCGAAAAATTTTATCTTCTTCCTTGTAAGTCAATGTTTGGTCAAGGTTGCTGTATGACAAGATATTCCATCTTGTTGAAAAACAACTTCACCGACTTCAAATCCATGATTCTTAATCATCCACATCAAATCTTCACAGAGTATCTTTAGGTACAGATCCGTATCCAACGTATAATCGACCTTACAATAGCTGCTAACACTGCGAGAGGTAAAACAACCTCAAATCATAATTGATCCATTGTCATATTTCATAGTGGGCTTTACATGGAATTGATTTAATGGTTCTCCATGATGCTTCCAATAGTACTACTTACTATCCGACCCAAAAATTTGGAATCTTGACTCATCCGACCAAATTATCTTGGACCAATCTTCAATGGTCCATTTTTCATATTTTTTTGCAAAAGCAAGTCACATTTTTCGATGACTATCACTTAGGTAGGGTTTTTTTTTTTTATTCCTGATATTAAACCATGGTTTCGAAGTATCTGCTGAATAGTAGACACCAAAATTTCAATATCTTCGTTTATTTTGAGGTGGGTCCTCACTTCAATGGTGGTAAAGCAGTGACAGGAGGTAATTAAATTTACTATTCTTCTTTGAGTTGGTTTATCCAACAAAGTTGGACAACCAATCCTTCCTAAATCTTCAAGTGTGTGGTTTGTTAACCACTTTTTTCTAATTCGCGAAACCATGGAAAAGTTAACATAGTGGGCCTGACCTACTGCTCTTGTGATATACCCTTTTTGAAGAGAAAGCAATATTTCGGCTCGTTTGGCGGAAGTTGTACAGTTCTTTTTTTTTTTTGATTTGTAAGCAATTCTAACATTAAACAAGATGCAGAATCAACAATGAAACTTCCATTTTTATATGTTTTATGTGGCACAACTCACGCGACTGATCTTTGTCAAAAACGATCAAAAATAATACAACACGTGATTTGTAATAAATTCACAATTATCTTCGCATTGGTAATAATAACGATTATTAAAATTTTGCTATCTAAAAAAGATAGTATTTGTGAATACAATAAAAAAAAAATTTAACAAATACGCCCGGAATTGAGTGAGATAATACGATCCGACTAAATTTTTTTTTTTGTTGCATTATTTATGATCGCCAGTGTATATCTGTATATTTTCTAGAAGGTAAGAGTGGTAAACTAGAAAACTCATCTCTGGATGTTTATAAACCGAATTTTCACATTCACGCTTAGCTTAAGATAATAATGCGTAGGAGTTGTTTTAACAATGAAGGTAAAAAGTGCAGCCAATAACTAATTCGAATTCAAAGCGATTATATAGTATAATTTGTGCGACATTGATTATACTACATTCATTTAGTACAGTAGTATGATACACGAGGCGTACTAATTATAATATACCTTAATTTTTCGCATGCTGTACCCAGAAAACTGTATATCCCTTAGATTAATAAATCAATTCAACTGCATGGTAGTGATCTAGATCACATATGAGCTTAGGCTGCTTAACCGCGGTATTACGAAAAACAATGTGTTATGGTTTAATAAAAAGTAGTGGAGTATACAAAAATCGCATCTGAGTATATAAAATTAGCATACTCATAATATACTGTATATATATTATAATAAAATAATAGTCGTAAAGAATTTAATTATTATATGTAATTTCACGAAAATTCTACAGAAATTTATTTCATAAATAAGATAGCTGCGCAAACCAGGAACGGGTTATGGATTTTTGCCACATGACAATTTATGGCATTATGACCAGGTACAATTCCATACTGTAATAAGTAAAAAAATCTGCTCTACTGAATAAATAATTTTCCATTATAAATTTGAATGTAAAATAACATTTATGCTTACTAATTAAGTGACAAAATAGTAAGTATTTATGGCTTTAATGGTTTATTTAATGTTTAAATTATAAATATTAATTTTATTATGCATTAAATTAACACGAATAAAATACTCTTAAAATTTAATGATCTATTTTAAATGCATATATTAAAAATTATTTATATTTAATAAACTAGATTAATACAAATAAAAATGAAATTAATAAATAATAAGTCTAATAATTTATTTTATATGCTTGAATTAATAATGTTCCTTATATCACACTAGATTAATACAAATCAAATAAAATCAAATAGTAAATACTCATAAAACTTAATGGTATATTTTAGACTTTCTTTATCTAGCAAAAGTTTTTTTTTTAATTTCTAATAAATTAATGTGAGCAAATAAAATTAAATGACAGATATTCATTAAGTTTAATAGTCTACTCAAATAATTGAATTTATAAACATTCTTTATATCACGAACTAAATTAAAATAAATAAATAATAATTCGATTAATAAATATTGTCTCTACTCACGCATTAAATAAATGAAATTAAATAGTAGTATTCGTGACTATTTTAGATATTGAATAATAAATGGTTCTTATACTATGCCTAAATTGACACGAATAAACGTAATGAATATAAAATTCGATGGTGTACTTTAAATTCTCAAATTAACAAAAGTTCTCCAGACTCAATGCACTAGATCCCACAATAAGATGGTGTTAAATAGTAATTATTCCTATAACGTTATAATAAAAAAAATGCAAATTAATCATTCAAAATAGATACAAACTGAACTGTGAATAAAAGATAATCAAAATGATCTACACTAATTAAACGAATATGCCCAATATTTTAAGAGTTTATCTATATCGAATTTTTACAAAGAATTTTTTTTTTTGTTAGTGACTTATTTTGGGTTATCGACAGTTTTGATTTTCACATTACACCTGATCTGGTAATTTTATTTGCGTCACTTATTAGAAGAGATCTGATTGGTGCATCTTTCACGGTACTACTGGGGTAGCTGTGAATAAAACAAGTAAAAAGCAAGTCTATGTTACATTTATAGACTTATGCATAATGTACGTATACCGATACATATAAAAAAAGTCACACATAATATTGATATACAAATATAGAAAAATAAAGTCACAAGGAATAGTTACTCAAAAGAGATACATTATTTAACTTGCCTGTAAACCATATATCGCTACGTTCTTTGTACCCCGTTCCTAGTATAGAGTAAACCGTTATAAAGACAAGCCTCGTTTTGCACAAATCCAAATTAAGCAAAAACAAGCCCAGATTGTTTAACAAGATGGAAAATCAGCAAATAAAAAATTCTTTCATGTATAATACAAAAATCGATAATACAAACAAAATCATGAATAAAACAAGTAAGACCAAATCTAAAAGCACTAAGGAACAATATTATACATACATATAGCGCATAAAGCAGAAATCATAAGACTAGGTTGTCACAAAGAGGGAACATACAGTCAGATGCCCAGGATTGTACACACTACATTTCTCTCAAGGAAACCATACTCTGCATACTTTTGCACTAAGTTCCTGGTATAAATAAAAATTAATACAATTATTCTGAAAATTTATTTGATCTGAAAGCTTTGTCTTGAAAATTGGATTTGATATAATAATTCCTCTTTATATTTGCTTGCTTTAGTGAAAGCATTTTGTTCAATTAAACAGTAATAAGCCACGGTAATTAGATGTTTAAAAGTGTATGTTCATTAGTTGAATAGTTCATATACCAAAATTTATAAAACTAGAACCATTTATCAGTAGAATTTTAAGTATTATTTTTTTTTGAAATTTAAACAATTATAATTCAAAAAACTAATAAAAGTCGAAAAAAATTTTCGATTTAATATTCTATTCATAGTTGACAAATATCTTTTTTGACAAAATTTTAATGTAATCTTCGTATATATTATTTAGAATACTCGTCTAATTTATTTGAATTATAAATTCATTCATTAAATCTATTTCAAAAATTTGATAGAATGAATTATTAGCCAACAGTAAACCTACTTTAATATAAAAAAAAAAAACCTATGATTTTTTTATTGTTTAAAATATTAGCAGCCTCAACCCATAAAATGCTAGGATCTTTAGCATTAGCTTCATTATAATATTCCAATACTTTTTCTGTACAATCTTTGAAAAAACTGACAGCCTTTCTTCCAGGAAGAGTAAGATTATTTAGTACCCGAAAATCAGCATTTCCAAAAATAACGTTGTTTGATGTAAATTCACCACGAGGAAAAGTGAAAATGATAAATCATTATAAGACCACCAACAGCAATTATTTCAACATTTTGAAATTCAGAAAAAAATAAGGTTGTTAGCGCACATGCGCCTCCACAATATCCATTAGTTAGAATTATAATATCATCACTAGCCCATGGAAAATGTAACCTGTCATTGATTAATTCCAATTCATCAGAAGTTAGTACAAGTTGGAAGTACGGTTTTCTTGGGAGCCTATTATAAACTGATCAGATGAATTAAATCGACCGTCTTCAGGAAACGATAAATAGAAATTTGGATTATAAAAATCCTTGAAATCACAATCTTTGGTCTTAAAATTACTTTCTATTACTGGAATGGTAAAATCATTAATATTTATTCTCGTTGGGTACGAGTTTGGTTGTTTTGATGAAAACAATATTGAATTTATAAATAGGGGTGTGGTGGTGGCACTACCACTGTCATTATTTGAAAAATCCAAAACAAGCTAAATAGAAAATGTTAGCCAATCATACAAAAGTTCTTCTATGAAGTTCACGTACTTAATATTACCCATACAAATTCCGCCTAAATTTCTAAATCGCACAAACTCCAGTGGCGAAGCCACGGGTCATTCACTAGTGATCTATATACAATACAGCTATCTATACAGCATAGGTGAAGTTCGTTATGATTGGCTAATAAATTTTAAAAATGGTCACCAAAATTAGTGATTATGATTACG